CGATAGCGGAATAGCGATAGCGCGCTATCGTTCTTCGATAGCGCGCCCAACACTGAAAAAATGTATTCTAAACAAACAAATAAATACAGATTCGATACTATTTAAACGTTCTCTAACATCATTTATTACATCAGATGTCCATGTTTTATTAGATTTTGATGAAGATTGCTCGAAAGCGAGCTTTTGAACAATGTTCATCAAATCCCTTTCCTTCTTATAAAGCTTTTCAAATATGTTCATTACCAAACACCAGGAGAATTCTGATAACGGATGCATCATATCATCAAATCTATGAGGAGATTGGTGGATATTATCCAATATGTTCGAGATGTTAAGAAGTAATTATTAAAAGATGGGATGGTCAGTGAATTTTGCACACGGGAGAATCAAAATATTAAGATGATATGATGGCTATCATATCATTTTAATATTTTGATTGGCTATCACTGGATTCGGTTCAATCGCTTTGTGCGTTCCGAAAGAATCTCCATAGACTCGAATTCATATTCTGATTGAGTCCAGATGAGCGTTGCACTGATCGATTGTGAATACAAATTTGATACTTTTCGAATGAAACATCAGTTTTACTTGAGACAAACCGCATTTGAATTGAAGAAAAAGAGATCGGCGAAGTGGATAAGAAAAGAATTCATTCTGAATTAGTCATCGAGTTCATACTATACAATATAAATTACTCGCTTTCGATAAATCTTTCAACTAATACACGAACAATTCGTGGAATGAGCATAATTATTCGAATGAATGTTCGCATCATTTGAGCGGCATTTGTCACGACACATTCTCTAAATTCGACTATGCTGAAGTTTATTTTAATGAATTACTTTCGGCTCCTTCTAATTATGCGAATTCATGATATCGGATAACACTTTCCTGTTAATCATCTGTGATCGAAGCTAATAATAACATTTTTGCAAGAGGATTCCCGAGGGATCGTTTCCTTAATCGGAAAGATGTTGAACGAGATTGCGGCAGTCAAGTGGTTGTTCCTATGGTGAATGATTTGTTCTTGACCGAATAAACATCAAACAAAACTACTAAAATTAAATGAATGATTTATGTAATGACCTCGAACAATCGTTGTTATAAACTCAAATACAAATTTCATCAAACAGCTTCATCGTGACAATGTGTTGTGAATGATGTGTGTTTTTCATGACATATGGATATCTAAACGGTGGAATATAATGCAATTGAATGGATGCTCAAAATCATCTGCATGTGATAATATTATGATAGAGCAGTGGTGCGGAACTGACAGAAGAAGATGCTTCATTGATGTTAATGAGATGAGGAAAGATGAACGTTGTTTTGAGTGAACGACTGCTCCATAGTACAGTAGAGCAATAGTTCTTATAGGGATACACTCAATTTGAGAGTGGTAAGGTGGAATTGGAATGGTTGGCAGATCAGCGTCAAGTAATTTTTCCCTCAAATTATTCCGTTGCTGTCCGATAGCTTTTCCAGCAGTTCTTTTTTTTTTCTGAATGCTGACTAGAACACAAGGTAGAACCGACGAACTCTTGGCAGCAAACTTTTCCACTGATGAATCAATTTCCTGATTTTCGTCAGATTCTTCGCTGAGAAGTAACAGACCGTCAGAAGAGCGGAGGAATTGCGGTAACATCAACCACTGAAGGAGGGAATGACGTCCTGTCATAGGCCGAAGCGGGGCACAACTGCGATTGAGTATGAGGACCAATGTGTTTGAGAATAGAATCGAGAACCGTCGGAAGGAACGAGCACGAAAAGCGCAATTTCTGAGCGCTTTGGAACTTTGTAATGTGAATGAAGAAGAAAAAGTTAATGATCCAAAAAAGAAAAGGCTATGTAGAGGAAATGATAAAAAGGAAAGCATATGTGACTAAGCGGCAGACGTCTGTTGAGTTGATCAAAGCGTTAAAGGTCATGGAGAAAAGTCACCCTGGCAACGATCATTTCAAAATCGAAGAAAGCGCTGTTGAGATTGATGATCTGACGGGAGCGCTCGCTCTGTGTTGGATAGATAAATAAAGGTGCAAATCAGGTGAACGACATGAGCAGTTGGAACAAAGAATGCTAACTCACTTGTGAATCGCGAGAGGAATTTAAAGTAATGATTCATGAAATTCAGACGTTCCTATGGAAACATTCAGCAGAACGAACTGCACTGTAGAGAATACAGATTTAGAAGATAATACAACAGATAAGATAACCGATTTGATAACAGAAGGATCGAAATAGAAACCAATATAAGATTATGAATATAAACAAGTAGAATAAACAATAAATATTGAATGGTTTTCGCCTCATTGTTATCTTAAATTTACTACTATCATTATTAATGTTATTATTACTGCTGTTATTTCAGGCCTGAAATATTATGATAATTTCGTTGGTTCAAAACAATTCGCTGATTAGGAGGCCGTTAGTTTAGAATGAACTTTGTTTGGCAGTTCAAATGACTGCTTGGAATTATTAGCTTAAAACTATTAGCTCGAAAGTGATAATGCTGAAATAATAAGCGCTACATTTCACTCCCTGTTTTTATTGTAATCATGTTGTTTTTATTACCTGTCGATGAAATGCAGTTTATTCAATAATATTTCTTACATGATCGGATTGCACTGTTACATAATCAATTTGTGCTATTGAGAAGGAAGCGATTAGAAAGAGTACAATTCGCACATATTTTCTTTTGCACTTTTGCTTCGAAAACGCATCGATATCTTCGACTTTACATCAATCGAAGGGTATCGTTGATGTTTATGTACTCGAATGTTAGTGACGGATAAATGTCAAAATACAACTGCTCTATTTAGCAGTTATATTGAATGCATACACGTCGTGACAAAGTTGTTGTTGGAACCAGTGCATTACTTGAAAAAAGTCGTGGACGGGGACGGAGAATCTGGAACGGGATCCCCGAAATTGCCCGATCCCAGCAACACACTATTTGGAACTGTATACAAGGTGAAAGTGAATCAGCTCGTTTTCAGCTCGTTCGAATGCACCAGTTGAGAGCGGAAATCAGTTTGATCTAACGAATAAACATTCCATGAGAAAGTGATTGATAATATCAGTCTGTGTAATCAGAACAAACAAAACATTCGACAAAGATAATCGGTATTCCGAAAGCGATATTCGCATTGGCCGCTATAAACTGCGTTATAAAAATGCAAATTTTGAAGGAAGTCACCGTTTTAACAATGAAATAAGTAAAAATAATAAAAATATTGATTAATAATAATTATTTCTGGAATCAGATAAATGAGCTGTTTTCCAGGCTCTCGGAATACAGAAAACTGCATATGTTTTGAATTTGGTTGAGCACAACTGATTCTGGTTATTTTTGAGGAGTGGGTAAACGAAACCATATGTTAAAGATACAAGCTCTCATGGTAATATGAATTGGATGTCTATAAATTGGGATTATTCCCCAAATCAGTGCTGAACTAAGCAAAAAGTTGGTGCCCTCCATGAAGACATGTAAATCTGATCATGAAAAGAGCAGTATGATGATTGCTTTCGGTACGATAAATGCTTTCCATGTGGACACGCAGTCACTAAATCACTCGATACTCTTTGAACTATTGAAGAGAGAAATTGTTCAGCGGTTACATGTCTAGATTTCCAAACAACTGAAACCTTGCAAAAAATATTTGCACAATAAGGCTCAAATTCTATGTGAGATGCAATGAGCACAGTCAGCAAACGGTAATCCTCGGTAAACGCGATGGTTTTACTGCTTGGCTTTAACCGAACGTCACATGACTCCTGCACGAAACGTTAGCCACTCTTGATTCTAAGATATATTCAATGAGGTGAAAAGGCTGAAGCGCCTGTCATTCTCTCATCTTTTTTTCGCTGAAATCCTTCACTTTCCTAATTTACTCGGAAGAGCTGAGAACAAATGCGTTGGTTCCCTTTTAATGAGCTTCTCGTGATTTGTCAGTGTCAGATGTCAGAATCAAAGTAATTTTCAATTTCAAATACCGCAAAAATGATCATCGAGCGGTGCACCAAAGAACAGCTTTTTTTCTGTGAACGCTTCATTCCATTTTTATTGTTACCAAAATTTTTTGACGAATCTTCTATAATCTGTTTGAACCGCAATCAAGAAATGTTGCATAAGACAAGATGATTGAACTGCTGCAAAGTGTCTATTAACGAGTCGAAAATTAATTCAATTTGCATCGCTTCTGCAAGAGCTTCCGGTGTGTACCTTACCCTGGCTGAATCAAATGTTCTATTTCTGCTTTTCAGATTACTCCATAACAAGAAATGCAAAATTTTAATGATGGTAAAAATGCGAACGGCAAAACGTTCCGCAATTCAGCTCTTTCTGAGCCTCAACGTGATCCCTCTCCTCGTGGTTCACAGAATAAGACTGGCGATGTGACTGCTTTTTGTTAGATGATTTTGCAAGCCATTTGTTGAAACGATGCACTATTACCATCGCAATCATGTGCACAGTATTCCAGCGACGAAAAGCACATTGTTGCAAATATGCTCGTTGCAAATTACATTGCGGTTGTGAGCAGTGTGCTGCAAGAAACGAACTATTCGTTCAGATCGCAAACGTTTCATTCGCTAAAGGACATCATTAGATTCGAAGAAAAAAGTAATGCTAACATAAGATCAGCTGATTATAACATTTCTCCTTCTTATGGTACCTTCGCTTGCTGAACGTATTCGAGAAGCTAAGAAGAATCTAAACAGCGTTAAGACGAGGTTTTCTTTTGTCACATTTATTCGGATCTTTGAGTTTCGAGTCCAGTGGCATAAAAAAACTTGAAAGTTGGGTATAGTCAAAATCTTGTGATATTAATGAAATATTCTCAAAATTGGTTTGAAACCATATTCGGCAGTTCTTTAGTTTAGGGGCTACACACGCGCGCATAAAGACATTTCTCAGCGTAGTAGGCACGCCCACCCGGCGATGAGGCTACGTATGGGTTTCGGCTCACGTCTATTTGCTCGGTGTAGCCCCTAAACTAAAGATGTACCCGATATTCATCAGTGTTGTATATCTCATACGAGAGAGTTGTTTTAAGAATTTCCAGTATCGTCAATGTCACTTACAGGTTATGTGTTTCAGAGTGACATTTGAAGATGGCAGAATTGCAACTGAAAAAAAGTCGTCAACGGGAACTTTTGAATATTCGGATGAGATAGATGAGGAAACAGAAGGTGTCGAACCGAATGTTTTGGCCGCATCTTCGTCCCAGACCACAGCAAATGCATCACTAGATGATGGTGTTTGCATATTCACTGATCTAACGAAACCGAAGAATTTACATGTGAATGTATCAAAGCGACAACTCAAGAAACGTTTACGTTTGCAACGGTTGGGTTACGTAGTTGATCTTAAGCCAGATTATCAAATGGCAAACGTTTCAGATGGTGTCTATTTAGGTCAGTCTTGAATGTATCGCTTTCAGAAAATAATTTTTGAAGACATGCTAACTGAGAACGTCTATTTTCATTCATTGGCGAATACGAGCCTTGTTTTTAACGAGTATCCGCTTGTAATCGGATTGCTTCAGTGTTAAGGAACGAGGCTGTCTCCCACGAGCAGTCAGTTTCCTTCAGAGGAAAATATCTGTGTCTTTTTATGCAACGATGAGCATTACCGAGATTCTCAACAAACTTCTACAGTGAACGGAATTCTCTATGAAATTATGAATTGCATCAAAAATTTCGGCCATTCATCTTGTTTATTCGGCAAACGTGCAATATTATCATGCAGTGCTCAATACTTACTGCCTGTGAGTCGTTCGGCTTGCAACCGTTCTGATTTTAGGTAGTCAAGATGTGGCACATCACTGTGAACTACTAAAGTCTCATCATATCACACATATTATCAATTGTGCATCAGGTGTTCGGAACGTATTCGAGGGTCGCATTAAATATTTGAATGTTGATGCGTTAGACTTACCGTCAATGAATATTTCGCAGTATTTTGCTGAATGCCATTCCTTTATGAGGAAGGCAATCGAGGCTGGAGGCAATTTGAGTTTTGCTTTTCTTTCTTTTTACTAAACATTTTCATCTGGTAGAAATCGTTGTGATGTTTTGAATTCTTGAACGGCAGCAATATTTCTCAATCAAATGAGGAAACGTATAGTTCAGCCTCAGTTGGGTCACGCAAGCTTTGACCTTGTATGAAAGTGATGACTTAAATGTCGTAGTGGCCATTCGAAAATTCAGATTCCAAGCGGACTTCTCTCAGGAACAGTTTTGTCAATTGGTTGATTGCATCCTTCCAATTAGATTTTTGAAATGGATGAGGTTTTGCCCTGGTTTTAAGAGCAGTTGATCAGTGCGTTTATTTTGATGTCGGATTATGTTTGACTTAGTCTAAGATCCATGTCTTTTGATATGTTTTGATCGGTGTTATCTCTATTACGAAATGAACGATCGCTGATTTTAGGTTCTCGTTCATTGTAACGCTGGTGTTTCACGGTCAGCCACTATTGTCGTATCGTACGTGATGAAATATGATCGAAAGAGTTTGAAGGATGCCCTCGAACAAGTCAATTCTGTTAGACGAGGTTCGTCTGTTGAAGAATTTCAATTGAAATAACCACATATCGCTTTCTTGTTACTTTTGTGCTATCGATCATACCTTTACGAGGCGCACATTTTCGTTACAACTGTGGCACCGTTAGAGTTGTGCGTGATTCCGCCGAATTTTCATCCCTTCCACCAACGCGATGATCGAGAACCCGAATTTCCTTTTGCTGATGAATCTTCTGGAATCATCACCAAAAAGCATCATACTAAATCTGGTCGCTCAAAAGTGCACCTTTGACGAACAGAAATAGATATTTCTATTCGAATGTGTCATGATCTAAACGAAAACTCCTTAAGTTCCCCGAGATTATTCGTGAATAAAAGCTGTTTAATACTGTTAATTACCGTATATTTCATTAATTCAGTCTTATGGATTTCCAACCGATTTTTCATTTCAGTTACACCAAACGCTGGATTCATGCAGCAATTATTGAAGTATGAAAGCACTCTAAAAGAAAACGGTCTATGTTAAAGAAAAGTAGTGCAACTGATGAACGAATTAATTTATGCGTAATCACTGACTAAACTGAAAAGTTTGTTTCGTTGATAAGTTTTCAAGTTTTGAATCCACTCATATCATATATGTGTATTAATGAGAAAGACAGTGGCCTTTTGAATTTGAATGTGATGATGCGCAACAAAAATAATTGTATTATATGAACAATAAATCGGTTGATATTCATGGTGTTTGGTATTATTATACATCAGCGTGCTGTGTTTAATTGATGGTGTGCATTGAATGATGCTTCAGCAGTGGTCCCAACGACTAAAGTGAACTTTAACATCATCTTAAAATGAATGCTATTGATGTAGGCATGCAATTCAGAAGGAACGTCTGAAATTTTTTTGAAAGAATCGTTTGTAAAATTTGCAATACAGTTGAATACGAAATCAAAGAATTAATTTAACCAATAATAATCAGCTTATTTCAAATGCGCTTCAGCGATTTCATTGGATTTTTCATTGCACTTCTGCGTTACTCCTAATCATATAAAATTTGGATGCTTTTTGATTCAGTGAATAATTTATCTGAGCAAATAGCAAGTGTAGTTAATGATATTTATACGCAATTCGAAGCGGTTCATGGGGAGAGATGTTAAGCCCTGAACAGAATATACGTATGTTCTGTCAGACCGTACTTCGGTTTTTATTTACTCTCTAGTTATCCTTCATGGTATTATTTTGAGCTGTGCAGTGTTATCCTTCGATCCATTGATTCGGACGAAAATTCTATGGAAATCTGATGAAATTTCATGAACTCATTGCTGTTGCATGAATGTACACGAAGCATCAGTTCTTGAGTGCAGTTCGTTTGGTTGTGCGAGTAGTGATTGGCCATGACATTATAAGTTATGGGCAGCTTCGTGCAGTCTTTCGGATTCCGAGAATTCTAAACATCGGATTTATGTATTATTATTCTGGGGCGGAAGCATTGCATATCGGGATTACAAGTAATGCGAATCTCATATTTTGAGATACTTAGTTTGGTGTATATTTTGAAGTCAGTCATCATGACACTATTTCTGAAGAATTCATAATGCCTATCGGTTTTCAAAGATAGCGTGATATCTGAGCAGTGTGACTAGATTAAAGTAATCTAATAACTGAGCGTGTCGTTGTTCGAACGGTATGCTAAAAGTTCGAAGACGAGTATCGCTGATACGCTTTGAGAATATAATGATCGATCAAAGTTTAACTCAATTAATTTGATAAATCTTGAAGAATTTCAGACTAACCAACTTATTTGAGAGGTTCTCTTCAGTCGTTATTCATCCTTAGTGAAGTTCTGGTAATACAAGTATTGACTCATTGAACACATTCAATTGATCAACTTGAGGAAAATGAATCCAAGTAAGTGAGACCGCATCGCTAAATTACCTCAGATATGGCAAAATTTTTGAATCAATGCCTATGAAGGTATTGGACTGCATTATCCTTGCATCCTTAAATGCAACCGACAATGGGAAAATCAAAACGAACTGACATTTAGATTGCTCGAATCTTTTGAGGAATTGTTTTGCTGGTAACGTTTATCCATGCGGCTTTGATTCCTGATGTATATTCCGCTGTGATGACCATGTACGCTAAAACTGGCGAAAATGTGACCCTCACATTCGGTACGACTATAAAGGACGTTTTCGTGTCTAAAAATGGCGAAAAAGTACTGATCGTTGAAGGCGGAGAGTTCACGGAATACGGAGTTAGTTGATGTCCGCAACTTGTTCGGTGATCCGAATGAATGAATTGTATCGTTTTGCCTTTGCAATTGCTGCAGATAGTGATCTTAAAAGCATTGAGTCATTTTCTTCTTCTCTTATTCGTACCATTATGAGTTGTCATTGTGAAGTAGCGTTTCAGACTGATTGTTTTGAGAAAAACCACTCACACAGATTGTTCATCGGTGGGAAGGCCTGTCTCTGAGAGATGTAACTGTGAAGGTTATGGAATTTGAAAAAAAATCACCCTACTATACAGGCAGGAAAACTCTGAAACCTCATAGCGGTTTTCGTGCGATAAAACGATTTATGAGGATCCATTTTTCAGTTCTCTAAATTTATTGATATTTGTAGCGCAAGCTGTTTGGTGATCGCGCCAGCTTCGCAAAGGGAACGCTCACACTGAAGAATATCCAGCAGTCGGATTTGCAAAATTACTATTACAAGTTGTACAACCACGATATGACAGTCAACCTTCAAGATAAGACTGTTCTAGAAGAAATGACTGCAGGAGGACGTCTCCCTCCTCACTGATATGTTGCAGAATGTATTTATCCATTTCGTAACCCTTACTATATTATACCTGATAAGTATGTAAAATTGATTTTACTGCTATATCATGTGAATCAATGATCTGTTTTATCAGTGATAAAATGTTGTCAGGAATGTTGCAGTTGTGACACGCAATTTTTGATCGGCGTTAATTGCTAATTTTTCATCCTTTTTATATCTACCAAACATATTTTAAAAAACCGTCAAAGAAGGACTGGCGTTTCATAGCTACATCACATCTTCCTCACGAGTTTCATTATCATGGATAGTTTCGGAAGTTCATGCTCGGCAATGAAGCAATTTCTAAACGTCAACGACGATCGTTTGCTTTCAACATATTTTTTGAAGTATACCATATAAGAAATAAGATGTCGATTGAAAACTAAAGAACTGCAAAAAGAGAATCACTTAGCAAGACTTCTGCGAACTGCAAACGATTAAACCGATTAGGATATGATTCTAGGTTTTTTCGTTGCCGTTATATGATGGACTTATGGTCTGACACTGGCTCTTGCTTGCCAAGACCGTTTTCAACATACATATTATGAGGTATGTCACATGAGATGAGCTGATCATATAGCACAACATGTGTCAGATCGATATCAAGCGAAATGGATATTTTTAGGTAGAGAAGGTTCGCTTCGATGTTGATCGCAATTTTAGGAGAAGAATCTCAACTGAATGTGCATTGAGCTGAATGTCGCTGTGGTAACGTTCAACTGAATGCACATTCTGCATTCTGCTTCACACAAACCAGATTGCTTTCCAGAAACTAACCAATAGAGCAAATCACACTTTTCACATTTCATTGACTGAATGAATGGGATTATTATTTATTAAAAGTGCTCCTGTTATATAGACCGAATCTCCATTTCAACGACGAACGTTTCCAGTTCCACTGAAAAATGCCTCAGAAAACAGGACAGCAGTTTGAAAAAAATAGTACGATGCATTGCCCCCATCTGAAATGCACTTTTATGAATTTGAACTTTTTTTTCAAACATCTGAATCGTTCATAAGCTCATTGGATGGAAGAATCATTGATCAAAATGAATAACATTTTCAAATCATTGAAACGGAGAGCATTTTACGACTCATGATATGGAGATTTGGCTTTCGCGTTGACTGTTTGAAAAAGTTTGCGGTTTTACTGTTGTTTCCTACATTGGTTTTGCTCTGAAAATCGTCAGTTTAGAAATGATGCCAAATATTTTGAAAGTGCGATGGACCCGCTAGTGAAAAATTGTGGTTCCGCTAATCGCTAATTAGCCACAAAAGTAATCTGCTATTACCTCGGCTGACGAGAACGCAGCAAGAACTTCTCACTGAATCTGCCGCTAACCGGCAAAGGAAACGCTACTCTTCGCTAAAACACCATCTGGCAAATATTAATGTGCCAACCGTCACCGCTAATGCTTACTTTCAATCTTCCATTAAAATTTGCAGTTGCATTGCTGACTTGTCACAGAAAAAGCATCATGACGCCGTTGAACAGCCAAAAAATTTTTATTGCACCATCCAATCGATAATCCTCTCAACAATAAGCACTAATCAATACTAAAAACAAATTTCAGCAATGAGAAAATAGCCAAGCGACGATAGCAAAACTCAAAAATGAAAAGTAATCAACTGGTAACTGCCCACACCACACTTTTTATCCCCTTTCAAGGACATCAACACGCTGAGCATTTCATCTGAAATTCTGTATCGTTCGGATCTTATTGTGCCGAGCATTTCAGTCCTCTCGTAGTGGAAACTAGCACTTATACATACGTGGAAGTAGTTATTCGGACACGGAGCGGTTGGTTTGCCGATTGCTCTGGGCGATCGGCAAAATGTTTACCGTTGCTGCGATAATTTAGTGGATTGGCATTCGGCTGTGCTTAATTGTGCAAAATATTTATGGCAACGGGCAGTGATTATTGCGTGGTTCAGCAATGATTAATACGCTGATTGTTATGGATCTATTCGCTTACATTAATTGTTTGTGTTTGATTCCGGAAGATTATAACGGTTCACTACTGTCCGTTGTTCCAAACGGCTACTCTGAGCGATCCTTGGACGCATGTCCAATCGATCAAGCGGAATGTATTTTTGAGCACTTTTTGAATCCTCCTCCTGAGAAATCATTGTGCAATACGGAAGAGTAGCCCAAAACCTCAGTCAGTGATCGCCTAATATATCAATAATCGAAGTCACAATTTCATGACGATTGAAGATTCCCAACGCTATTGTTGTTAGCTGCGCGGAAAGAAGGATGCCAAGGAAGGAACAATGTGATATTGGTGATAACAGAGAGACATGAACTCGTATTGAGTTGAGACTGCTGATTAAATAAGTAAATGAATAAATAAATCAAAACTTAAAGGAAATCATAGTGTTGCTGGGCAAAGTTAAGGGTACGGGTAGTTTGAAAATGATGCACGTGACATTCGTGTAGAACTGTACATTTGATCACGCTAAGGTGATCAAATTTGCAGAGTTTGGCGGCATTACAGATTGGCTCAAGTAGGTTGGCGCATCGTCAGAAAATCAGTTTTATCTCTTGGACTAAGCTTAACCCGTCGATCATACATACAATAATCTGAATGGTATCTGCTGAATCCGATGGTAAGAAGAAATTATGGTGTTGCTAGGTAAACTCGAGAGCACGGATAGTTTGAAAACAGTTGAGAAAGATCCTCGTGGTATTCCTGTAGATTTGTACAAGTCCTACTGCTCAACAGCATTCGAGTAAACTAACTTAATCCGTTAATTTACTTTTTCATCGCAACAGTGCTCCACCAAATCGGTAGAGCTTCCCAAAATTTATTTTCAAGCTACAGAGCGTTTTAACGCACCGAGCTGAAACATTCAGACACCTCAAACTTTGGTAAGTAAACCGATGTCGAGATCGGCATTCTCGACAGGTGCAGAATCCAAAAAGCGATGGAAGGAGTACGTCTCATTCGTTCAAAATTTTCACTGATAAATTCATTCGAGATTCTCTCGTTGTATATGCGATGTTGTTTTTAGTTTTCCGTATGTTCCTTTGCCTTCGTTTCATTTTTTGTCCAGTCATGAATGAATTGAGAAACCAAAATCGTTATTCATAGTTCGAACTGTGATATTACCGTGAAATATAACATTTGCTTAAAAAATGCTGCTGTTTTGTGGCAACCTCATTACGCTTCGTTGTTGTTTTCGTGTGCTGAACTCACTTTATAGTTCGGTGATTATTTGTTTTTTTTTTGTTTTTTTGTTGTTTTTTAGCTGAGATTAGTCAAATGAACGAAGTCACAAAACCTCAGATCTGTGACTACAATATTCATCTTTACATGCTCACAAAGCTGATGATTTCAGTTTGGAATATAGTACAGAATCCCTCTCCGAGGAATCACAACGGACTACAATTCCATCGGTTCGTAATTTGCAATCGAAAGGAGCATCATGAGTAGTAAATCTGTTGAAAAAATGTTTGCATATGATTGACACCGCAATTGTTTGTTGATAAAGTCGGTTTGATACTATGATTTTGTCAATTGTTCTTTGATGGATGCATCATTAACGTCTGATCGTGCGAATAAACATTAAAATTGCATTGGTACGGAAAAAAATTTCGTTTGCCACAATCTTATCAACAAAATCACTAACTATAAATAAATTTCAGTTTCATCTTATGTTTGGTAATATGTCTTTAGTTTGGTAATATTTTTCATGTTTCTTCTTTTTTGACTGCTCTTCCGTGGCGCCTTCTCGTTGGCTCATCAATCTGCTTAACGTTTAAATTTTTCATGGTCTTCAGCGTTGCAAATCGCTGCCTTACACAACTGAAATCTCGTAATTTCTTTCGAAACATTAAACCCTAACCATAAGCACTGCCATATTAACGAATCACGATCAGACAATTACACGAACCCAATCAAAATCACCATCTGAAATGTCAATAATATATTCACTCACAAAACGAGGCTACAGTACAATATGACGGAATTACAATACATCACTGATTAAATTATCCATGTGGTTCACTTTGTTGATCTCTAATGTACTAAACGATGTGAAATCACTCGAATCTTCTATGAAAGTTGCTCAATTCGAGAGGAGTAGACTTCAGAAGCATTATACTGCAATTTCCTTCGATGTTTTTCATAATAACATCAGGAGATGAGCTTAAATTCAAGCAGATGGCCACCAACTTAGTACTATTCAGGTCTGACGAAGCCTGAGCATTTGAAAGATGCCTGACTGCATGAGCGAGGAAGATCCATTGAGCAGCATTAGTACGATTGGATACATATCCTGAATGGTCTCTTCAGGCTGGTTGTAGGGTTAACTTTATAAAATGAACTTTCTGATAATTCCTGTTCTTCATGATCGCATATAATCCGATTTCACTACGTAATTTAAACCCAATCACAGCATACTGCGATTCAACCGACATGCACAATGAGTTTCAAAAGAATAAATTTGACTGGAAAAGTCGTTTTAGTGCTTTTTGTTCATTTTATTCGTATTATTATCCATCTCATTCGTCTTCATTTCTTCGTCAACTTCCTTTTCAGAAAGAATAAGAACTTTCGAATGGATATTAAATAATTTGAAGTTTGAAGAAGCATTCGATAGTTGATAACGTTCGCTTGGTAAAATATTATTATCAGCGATGTAATCGGTCTCTAATAGAGGCAACATGAAGCTCCAATCAAGCGATATTTGTTACGTTCTTGTCAACAAAACGTTTGATGAATTTCGTCATCGTTCAAGTGAATTACTTCTGTACAATATCAAAGAATTATAATCTTGTGGATCACAAAAAGTGCAGCTGAATCGAAAAGAGCAAATTCGATTGCAAATGTGACTAAAAACGTCACTTTATGATTGAAGTAGCAATCGATTATTCATAATGTTTGTTTGATAAGATACTTCTATCGAGGTGAAGTGAGATTTTAATGGAGACATCATAAAAATATGATCTTTGAATGTTTGATTTCTTAGAGAAAAAATTGTTCAACACAAAATTTTGGATACGATCAAAAAAATTTTGTCGACTAGTATAATGCTATCAATTGATAAGCATTCATGCACATTCCAAAATAATGTATTCAAAGGTGGGTTAGAACACGCTTTTATACCCCTCATCATCGCTCATGTCGTTCTGCTTGCTTGTCCACAAAAGCTCTTGATAAGTATCTCGATCGCTCATTGTACGTTCGATGTCGATGGTTCTCCTAAATTTCGATCCTAGTTGTTAATTGTGTATCGAGAATATTCTCGTAGGTATTCGAACGAACAGATATTTCAGTATGCCGATACTGGCATATTGATTTGATCAAAATTAGCATGAATGAGGTGGAATTTGGAGGAGCTCTGCGAAATCTCGGATCGGTTCAATTGTCTGCTAGAACATCGACATGACCCTACTCCAATTTCCACACTATTTTCAGAAACAACCAGTCACTAAAAAGAGTGTGGAAATTTAAAGAGGAAGAACATAAATGGAATGTCCCATAAAATATGTTCAATTTATATTGATGCATAAATTCTTTTTTAATATTTCCAGTAATGATTCAGCGAACTAATTTCAATTACTTATCCATTGACTGATCAGTTGCTGATAAAGGTTTTCGTAGGAAGCAGGTTCGGTTAGGTTCTACAACGACACAATTCACATTCAAATCCTATACTGTTGTATTACTGTTATGATTAAAGTTATCACTATTAACAGCACTACTCTTGCTAGTATTGTTACAAGAAGATGATTGTCTAACAAGGATAAAAATCGGCACTTCAGCGAGGGCATTTTGATAAAGATCGATCACAGTAGAACAACGTAGTTGTAGGAACTGTTACAAACATTTTACAATACAACGACAGAGTTATCACTGAAGCAGAAGAAGCAACTTACCGAACATTTACAGTTGTTTCCTTCGCTGTCATTGATACTCAAGTTGAATACAATGTTAAGGATATCGCCGTGAATCAACGTTTCTTCTAGTGCCATACGCCTTCCGCATTGATTGATGAACTTTCAGACCACAACGAGCAAAAATGGCTTGGCAAACAGAATTAAAGCAAATACGCGCTGAAATACAACAGCAAATACAGGTACAAATTGAGCAAACAGATTAGTCGGCCAAGACGATATAGTTATTCCGTTCACCATCGTTAATAAACACATTCATGATGCATATAGCATTAGAAAGATGGTCATGAATGGAAGTTTTTTTATAGACGAATACATAGCGCATTAATTCAATAACTTTCAGAACCTAAACGTGCAGTTAGAAAACTTCCGTTCTCAAATACATGGGGAGTGTGATCAAACGAAACAGGTACCAACGAAGCAACAACAGTAGTTTACGGATCGTTTGCAGTTATTTTGTTCAATGTGATAAATCATCAAATTTGTGATGAAAAGCAGTAATGAGAATATCATCATGAATAAACTTTTCCTTCATAACTCTATGCAAGTAGCAATGTTTGATGAAATTTCAGTACGTAACGGTCGAGATGCAAAACATACGTAGTGAATTACAACAAGCGAGCGGAGAACCGAAAGAGGTGCCAATTGATTAAACAAAATACTCTGCCAAGCAATTGCAATAATTCGTTTTCGTCACTGATATTTATGATGAATACATGTGACTAGGAAGATCGTTACGAATGAACGTTTCTTTTATTACCGTTGGCATTAATTGATAAATTTTCAGGGTGATACGACATTATGGCGTGATGAGTTAACAAAAATGCGTGATGAATTTCGAAGAACATGCGATGAAATGAAAAAGGTACCAATTGAAACAACACATCTGACAAGCAATTAGAGTTACTTCGTTCACCGTGTTTATCATGAATATATTATTAGGAGTACGTCAAGAATGAATATTACCTTTATAGATACATGCACAACGCACTGACTGATGAGCTTTCAGAGCATAAAGAGTGAAACCGAAGGGGAGCTGCAAAAATTACGCGAGGAATTCCAAAAAACATGCGATGAGGCCAAACAAGAATCACAAACAACTTGTGAAGAAACGAAAAAGGTACCAATGAAGCATTGAACAGTTTACCGACGTTTACTGTCATTTCGTTCTCGGTAATTAGTAATCAAATTCGAGATGAATAAGTTATCAGGAATGTAATCGTGAATCAAAGTGTTTTCTATAACCATACATGAGCGCATTAATTAATGAATTTCAGACCATAAAGAGTGAAACGGATGAAGATCTTCAAAAAATACGCGATGATTTGCGAAGAGTTCACGATGAACGGCGAGATGAATCACGAGCAGTAATCTTGTTAGCGTCAATCCCCACTTTACTTTTCATCGTTTATTCATTTTATAGATTTATTAATTGATTCAATTTTTTATCACGTCAAATTCTGTCAACTTTCTGTGCTCGAATGTTTCTGCCTTTATTATTGCCATATAACTGCCACTTCAACATCGAATTGGCTAGTTCACGAGTCTCTCGGTCGCGCCATACTACTGTAATCTCCATTTCTGTTTCTCCTCTACTTTTTATGTTTATATTTTACTCATTTCCCCTTTAAACTGTTTTGTTATTTACTCAACAAATCCACCTCATTACGAGTTCAAGTCTCTGTTTTATCACCAATATCACTGATGTCACCTTCTTCCTTGGCATTCCTCTTTCTGCGCAACTACCGATAATAGCATTGGAAATCACCTGCCTTCGTAAAATTCTGACTTGATTTGGCAGTCACGAGGTTTTGGGCTACTCTCCCATAATGGCCAATGATTTCTGGGGAGAGGGACACAAAAAGAGCCCGCAAATACATCTCGCTTGATCGACTGAACATTCGTCCAACGATCGCTCAGAGTGGCTGTTTGGAGCAATCAACAGTAATGTCCAAACAAGCACTTCCCGTTATACATGCACATTTATTCAGGTTCCTTTCTTTTTCTCATTCGTTATTTTTCATTGCAATGAATTTCTGTATCGTATACCGGCACCTACTAGTCTCTCTATTTCTTTCATTTTGCCACACCTTATATTTTACATTTTCTTTGCTTTACTAAACTGTCGTTTACATAGTATTTATGCTGTTTTATTACGTTCTTGGCCAAGTCTGTTCCTTTCAGTTTTATTCATTTTCAATTAAATGATTTGCAGCTATATTGACACACACAACTACACTGCACAATTCCGTTCCAAACCCACGTCAATTATTTGCATGTTATAAAATTTTCAGTAAGACCTTTTTTGATTGAACATTCACACTTTCACACAATATAATATTAGCTGCAATTGTACCATACTGTGCACATTCACTCTACAGTAGTATATTGCAAATCTTAATAGACTATTAAAAATTCATCACTACACATAAAAACACCACAAAACATCTCAAACAACCAACTGCAAACCGCACACCTTTTGGTTCCTTATTCAAACCTTACTGCTACAATTCCAAATTGTTTCGAATGACGAAACAATTTGGAATTCCTCGTTCCTCACAACTGTCTCAGTCAGTGCATCCCGGTGTTCTCATTATTTGTTTCCGTATGGGGATTTTTCATTGCATCGTTTGCTTGTGTAATCACATCACTTGTCATTGCCGCGGCTCATAAGCGGAGCTAACGAAAATATGCATTCAATGATTCGAACTTTAGCTCAACCTTACGGAAAACGTCCGGTATGAAGAATTTAAAGTAGATTTGGAATTGCATAATGGTGTAAACTGTTATCTTCACTAGTGATTCTGATGTCATCACGAGAGGAATTCTTGAAATTACATTTTGAAGATCGCTCGAGTTCCACTGAAATTGGTACATGAAAACACTACAATGTGATTGATATTCACTTGATGACAGAGTCAAACAGCAGTTCCATGAATTTTGAGTGATGTAGTACACATAGGCATTTTAATCTCATTAAAATTATGGTTTTGAACAAATTTATAGGATCACAGTTCACTCACACATCCTTACACATCAGATTAAGCAATGATCACCTAGCCATCCCTCTCAAAACATTGTATTGTTCGTTCACATACGCATTCAAAAGATCTTCAGATTATTATTTTCTCTGAATTCATCAATGAGGTTCACGTACAGCAGAGTCAGAAACAATATTGAACAAACAGCATTCAGAATGTCAGAAACTGTCAGTCTTTGAAAACTACTGGAGGTGAAAAATCGATGATGAGATCACAAGTGTACGGAAAGTGCCCAAAAACGGTAGGTCATCGAAGATCAGTGTTATTCTAGCATGCTTATTTATGAATTTCAATTAATTCATGGAGAACGCGTCTATCCAATAAGCGCATGTAAATCTGATTTGCCATCCGCTTAAATACTGACAGAAAGCGGTTTGCACTTTATGCCCAAACGCTTCAAACCAAATGCATCGTCTGCTTCTGAATGCGATAGATTGTCAGTATAAAGAGCTCATAGACCCGTGGTCTCGACCAACCGCTAAATTTCTGTTGTTGTTCGCATTGCATTATGCAATTATGATTGACTGCCTTCAGTGTGAAGTACTACTGTTGCTGCTGTCGAACAATAGTTCATGACATCAGCGAAATGTTTGAGTTCAATACTCATGCTTCCTTAAACAGCAGCAGCACTTTGTTGTTTCCTCAATCACCACTTCTCCAAAACATAAGACGTGTTTGCAGATTGTTGCCTGTTGTAAGCCGGAGGCGTGAGGGTATTCAAATCATCCTTTCGTGAGGGTATTCAAATCATATCTGAATTATGCATCAAAGTTGGTGGCAGTCTATTTATCTTGAAGTCACTATTCTCTCAACTTCACTTCGCTACCGAACCATGTCCACTTTCTGCCACAGACAGTGAATGATTAGAGTGGATTGATTATATGGCGCAATCTATTTTCGAAAAAAATTTTCTGCATTCACCGAAACTTAATGCCTGAAATTGGTGCGTCTACATCATATGTTTCAGACACATTCGAAGTTTTCAGGACTAGTTCTGCTAGTTGCATCAATTGGTGCATTATTGGTGATGTCTGTGCAATGTGCGACAGCTGGAATGCGCGTCGTATTAGGTGAAGATGTGAGTATAACGTTTGGAACTGATATCAAGAACGTTAGTGTGAACAATCCAAATTCCAACAGACGCGAGCCGATCATCAAAAATGGACATTTAACTGGTCTAGGTGTAAGTCGGCAGTTGCAATTCACCTTTACATCTATCAATAGAGGGTAAAAAAGTATGATTGCAGCTGAAGAATTGATCCATACTTTCCAAGGATCTTTCAGACTGTTGATATTTCGCACTGTCGGAGAACCCTTCTGTTGTGCCATTTAAATTATTCTGTTTTGTCCTATTCTTCACTTTCACATGGGAAGCAGCTTTATTCACTTCTGTTCCCGCACCTTAGAACCGTACACCTTCTCTGTTCCTGTTCCGTTTCCTCACCCCAGGTTCTGAAGCGGCTCTGTTCTCTTCTGGTAGAGCAGAACTGGGACATGTACAGTTCATATGAACGGCTAGGTAAAAATTCGAATATATTATTTCATTTTAAAAATTCAACCATTTTTTAGCTCGAAATGTTCAAAAATCGTGTTAAGTTCGACAAGGGAACGCTGACAATAACTAGCCTGAAGGAGAATGATCCAGACAATTTTTACTTCTTTCGCAACGGATATCCAATGGTGATAAGTCTTATTAAAAAATCAAGAAACTGAACAAACGTTTATGTGGTACCGAGAAGCATCAAGTGATTTTTCAAAAGCGCCTTCGATATTGATCGAAAAGCCTATATTAACAAGCTTCTTCAAATCGGATAATCGTTCATTTGAATATTCTAATAAATCGATCGTACTTGACCGAGTGAAATGATTACCATATCGCACTAACTATAAGAAAGAATATGCACTTGGCAAAAAGTATCAAGAAAAGGGGTCTCACAGATGTCCTCAAATGAGATATGTTCGACAATCTATTGTGCATGCCTGATGAACAATGAAGTCACAAGCATTTTATTTGAGAACGTAATGCACATTCTAGGCCTGATAGACAATTGCTTATGAACCTGGCGATGCCACTAATTTTTCATTCTCCATTTGAACTTCATTTGGTCGAAGCTGGCATAATTGAAAGTGCAAATTTTTATTTTGATGGGATCACAAGAATGTAATAAATCAAAAAATTGAGCATTTTTAACGCATTCGAATACGGTGTTTCACAATAAGAATGTAGCGTAATCGATCTCATAAGCGTATGCCTCCGGATTGTCTAATACCAAACCAATCAAGCTCGACTGATCAAAAAAACAGCAATTTTTACTGGTAAGACTCTTGCCCGCAAGGGTAAAACTGATGGGAGATGTTCCCGCAGGAGGGCTTTCATCTAGCCTCCTTGTCGGTTTGAGTCTTCAGTACTGTGCGAACACGCGATTCGGGATAAAGTACAATCAAACTGCATCAAGCGAGTAACAAAAACACATTACCAACAATTAACATGTATCAGCAGCAAAACGTTCAACTGTCATAATTGTCTTTGTATTATATCGCCATTATTATTCACATCAAGCGGAGCTGCACTCGCAGCAAATGACAAATCAGACTGCATCTCCGGAGTGGACCAACATGAAGTAGCGTCTGCGGCGGCTTTCAATAGTATTTCGGAATGTGCTGAAAGCAGTTGAATTTAAATACGATGCCGAAATCCGAAAAATATACATATTGCCATGGACAAATTACATGTGCCGCGAAAGTGAACAGTTAGTAGTTTAGGAATGGATTTTGAACGATGCATCCATAGATTATGAAGAAACACGTCGAAATGATGCCAGAAAAAGCTATATGGATAACTATATGAAGAAGAGAGCAATATACAAAATGGTAGTAACTCAGCAGATTTTTACTTCAAAAGCTCATAGCTAATAGATCCAAAAGCTAATAGACTATAACATACATGATCAATCACAGGGCATGTTTGCATGTCTTCAAAAAGGTATTATTTTATTAGATCGAACACCTTCAAGAAAACAGTTTTTGTATAAAATCCGAAGCATTCTCGTGAAATTAGTAAGACGCACTGAATATTGCTAATAATTGAAGTGCTCAAAGAAATGGGAAAGGTGAGGCAAAAAAGCGAAAACGAGTGCGGAGAAAATCAAAACAAGAACGTACATCGTGAATGTGCGATGAATTGAGGTAAATACGATAACGCATCAGCAACGATCTGTTGTTGTTCATGCAACAAAGCAGTTATGTACGCCGTTGTGAAATAACCTGACGCCTGAAGAATCACTTCAGAAACTATGATGGACAAAGGTGTAACTTTTGAAGAATTCGATGCATATCTTCGCGTGAACTGAACCAACTTATAGCTTCATTGTTCTGGTTTATTTTTATCATTCTCCTCTTTAAACTATTCATTCTCCTAAACAATTCATTGGCGTAACTGTCAACACTGACTACTAGCAACGTATGTAGTTATTGTTAAAAATACTTATAGTACATTTAACAATAAGCGTAGTTTTCACATACTTGCATTTCCAGACACTACTGTTGTCAAATACACACGATAATATCTCATTCACCATTTGTTGAATTACGCAGAATTTCACATTAAAAATTATTGAGCCATTTTGTCACGAAACATTGAAGATTTAAAAAAAAANAAAAAAAAACATACGGATGGATGAGCACACGCATATTTTATGGCACACTGATAAGCGAGTCTACGCACATCTGAAGACTTCTCCACAAAGGCGTTCTGTATGTGAACTAAGTACGGTGCTATTCTTTCGGGCGCATCATCCGCTAGCACTTTCAGTGCTTCGAAAGCCGAAACGAGCGATGCACACGACTCTGCTGCATCAAGCTGCAGTAATAATTGTTGTGACATCTGCAACACTCTTCCACTGGTTTCTAACAATGACATTAATCAAAAATAACTTTTCGAAGAGAATCAATTCGTTCATGGAACAACGTCATTAGTTGTGAAATAACAACAAATCAAATACATCACAGCGAGATACACAACAAGCGATTGTCACGACCCAAAACATACAAATTGCAAATGAAAGTATCAAAGCGAAGAAGAACAATTGTGCCATAGAACTGTTATCACTGAAAAGTTATACTTCACATCAATAGGATAATTTTTGGGCGAATTGAAACGAACGACTAATAATGAGATCGTCTGAAAGAGGACGGTACAATATATGATCGTTATGAATAATATTTCCAGTATTCAATAAATACTTAATTTAAGATGCACAGGAAACGATAGATATGGCGATCACTAAAACAAACAAAAACATAAGGAAATGGGTGTGGCGTGCATGGATGAAGAAATTCAATTAATGAATTAATTGATTAAAAACAAATATAAATCGCTAACTTCGGCAACATCATTCAAACAACCGATGATGCTTTCAGATAGAGCTCTCTTGTATGTTCTACTCTTCATCACTTCTTTCTGTATCGTTGGTTCATTTCCAATGACACAAAACACACTGCATCACAAGGATACGCTGGTTTGTGCTTGTGATTCTTTAGTGATAAAATAGTTCAATGCTAACCGAATGAGTTGTACCCCATTTTCAAATTTGGAAACAGAATCGCTATCGGAACTGTCATGCATCTCCATAATAGCTGTCATTTAACTTACAAATGCGTTCGTTGCTATTCATCTCGTCAGTTAAGAACGTTCTCAGCGCGATTTTTGAAGATAAATTTGGAAATTCTTGGAACGTTCTGCCAGTTGTATTGGAATAGCATGAGTGTTCCAGTTTGAAAATGTTTTCTAGATGTTGCAGCAGAGAAAGTGGGAAAAGTCATTGTAAGAAACGCTTGAATTACCGCGGGGTTAAGGAATTAGAAACATTCGACAATATTTCACATTTTCTAATGTTTAACGATCACAGAAGACTCTTGAAATTCCAATCAAATATACTAAAATCTCTCGTTTACCTAAACGACTCCTTTTTATCAGGAACGTCTTTATCAAGCGTGGATGGGTAAACGTCGGAGTGAGATGTTGCGAAGGATCAAAACAGGTCAGTTGAAAGTTTCTTAAAGAATCAAATATCATACTTCCATGATTGTTCGCTGACCTAAGATATACTCAAAATAAATCTGAGGCGTTCCATGCTTCTCTCTCTCCGCTCGAAAACCGAATGACACATGCCCAAATCAATAGCCACACTGATGATCATGCCCAATGAATGCAAGTAAGAACTGACGTAACGCTGTAAAGCTATAAATAATTATCTGCTCTATGTCCAAATAACGTCGATTCATGAGAACGACTGTAAATAATATCAATATTTAAATGCTAACGATTTCAAAAAATGTTAGCCAAAAACTTGATATTCGCGGATTATATCTGAACAAGTGTAGTTTTAAAGTCACGAAAAGGCGAAAGATTGTCGAATGGAGTTTGTTGCACTTCAACTCTGCACCAAACATTTTCTGCATTACAGAGATGGCATCACCGAAAGATGTCTCAAAAATTCTCTCGCAGTCACAAATTNAAATGACAACTACAATCAACAAACTTAAGTAATGTGACTGCATAATCACTACGACAGCCATTCTCAACATCACATCCAAATGAAATTCTCATGCAATAGTTCATTGTGGATGCAAATACGAATAGTGTGTTAACAAAAGACATCTGAATGAACCTAATTCGAGATAACTTATTGCTGATTGAATGCTTCTATTGAATTGGCTTATTAATAATATCGACCAAGTTCAAATACTATTCCGCACTTTCGAATCGATTCACTGAGAAATTCTACAAGATGCCTTTGCAAGAGAACACTGAGCGATATTCCGAAAATACAAGTATTGTATTTCATAAATGAACTATTGCTCGAAAGAAATGATTCAAACTGTGATTAGTAGTGAAAATTTCTGAGCTGAGAAATGTCAGTCAACTTATTAATTATTAAAATCGAAAAAAAAAGTTCGTAGAATGTGTATATGTATTTGTTTAATGAACGAAGTAGCAATCTCATCACTCCGGAACAGGCGCAATGCTAACTGTTATTAAAAATAACCGTTATCCTTTGTACGCTTGCTATTGTTGAATATAATGTGTATATTACTGAGAATGCTAAAACATTACATTAAATCAAAAAATTTCGAATGGTCACCGTTGATTGTGAATTGAAATATGATGCTCTTTTTTATTGGACTATGTTATGGAGCTTTTATGATTTTATAAATGATATTCTTGATGCTATCAATAAATGCTACAACCACCACCAGTCGATGTAGAATGAATGCACTAACTACCACATCAATTCAGTCAAATGTAACCATTTTTTGAGGATGCTCTGAAACTTTTTACGCCTGTAAGGCCGATAAAGCACAGAAATACTCTTTCTACCGATAACCATCGTTGACATTAAAAGACCAAAAAAAACAATGAAAGTAGAACATATTCAACATCATCCCCACTCAAAGACACACACCAACCCATGGTCAGCGTTCATAGAATACCGATTACTCATTCGTGCATTCACATTCTATTCGTTCATTACCGATCGCATTCAAGCTCTCCACAATACTACGCTCTTTCCTCCGAGCACAAAATGTTCCTCGCCAAAGACGGGAAATTCCAACGTATCAGAGGTGGGCATGAATCGAACCCATTCATTATATGGCAATTGTTTGAAGTCAACCGCACATTAGCGACACATTATTGGACGAGGTATGATGATGTTCCACCAAATGATCAAAATTGGCACCGAGTAACAGCTTTGCACAAATGTAACAAATACAGTTTCTATCCCATAGATAACTGTCGCCAGGATTGTTTCATCTAATAATAAACGAAGTTAACACGGACATAATTACGATACGTCCATATGCGCTGTTTCAGTAATATGAATTTACTAATTGCTGAGTATCTGGAAAGATTAAACCGAAAAACAGTTGGTCAAAAGAATGTATCGACGGGAGATGTTTCGTCAATCAGAATTGGACATGAAAGTGCTACTGGTTGGTGTAAGTGAATGTTATTGTTGGTTTAAAGTTCAAACAAAGAATGAATTTCGTAACCGAATTAAAACGGAACAAATTGAGCGTAGCAATCAGCGCAGTGAATGCTGAACGACATCATTTAGCTTTTAATGTTTTATTGAGAGAAGTGCAAAAGTGAGTGATTCAATGATACCAATTAAGTGATTGTGCGTTTATCTCTCGTTTTAGCCTAATATCTACTTGAATCCAATTTTAGCTACCAATAAATGATTCATCGTCAAGCATAATCCTTCTTTTCATCATCACACGTCACTTTATTTCGAAATAACATCTATCGGCTGATTGGATTTAGCCCAAAGTGGGTTTCGGTTCATCTATCGAGCGAATCACCCAAGAATTCTGGAACGATATCTTTGCTAGCACTTCAAGCAGTTAGCTATTAAAACATTAAGAATTACCGATTGTTTATTTTACACGATAAATAAAATTGTATCTACACACTTTCGATACAATGACTGCATCTAAACATCACAATCAAAAGAACATAAGTAACTGAATAAGTAATAACAATAACAAACAAAAACATTCGGTTATTATCATCAGCTACATTATTTCGAAAACAATATACCCGAATGAAACAATTTCATGATGGAAAATTTAGAGATAAAAGGAATATACAACTGAAATTATAACATTACACTTCAATACAAATACAACTTAATTCTAACATAAACAAATTTCACTTCATTCAAAATTAATCTAAACGATCAATTCATCCTCGCTTTCTTGAAATTAATCTGTTCTCAAAATTTTTATCAAATGCTTTAACGAACGCAACTGCAAACAATTCCTTCTGACAATGAGTGGAATCACACTTGTTGATTTCGCTCGCTGGTTATTGATCATGCAAATTTTGAGCATTGGTCCGGTTCGATCGGTTGCCGCCGAAATTCTGTATTTTTTCTCATTTCAGTTAACGGCCACTGATTTTTGGAGATATCAAATAAACTTTAATCGTGAGCGACATCATTTGGTGACTTATATAAACCACTAGATTACAATGACAACAACTGGCATTTTTTTTCTGGAAAACCATCAAAAGATGACCAATTTAAAGTATGACAGATGGGAGAGTGAATTGTTTGATTATGCACATTCATTACAACAAAGAAACGAAGACCACCTGAACTTAAAAGTCTTGGAAACGAAAAGTTCATTCCACAAAAAACATCACAAGCAATCTGTGTGAAGCTGATGGAATACGTTAGCGTAGGCGATTCAGCTAAATTGATTCAAACGAGAAAAATGAGTAAATGTCGAGGGGAAATTTGAGTAAACATGGAGATATGCGCATTGATTCAGTCACCGGATGAACGACGTGCTACAATGAGAACATCCGAGAGAACACTGCCCGGCGTCGATTCGAAATTGGTGACGAGCTGAGAGATAACATCGAAGTGAGACGATAACAGTTTATGGCCGCGATCGGCATTTGATTCTATGAAAAGAAGACAAACTTTCTGCAGTTTCATAATCAACGGTGACCAGAAACGACTTTTGATGTTACCCTAAAATTCGCATTCATTATTATCAACTGAACATATTGCTTCTTCTAATTTTTCTTCATTTTATTCCCACCCTCACTTGATGGTTATCAACAATTATTCAATGCAAGTCCTTTAGAAACATGAGCGTGCATGTGCCTCAGAAGTTGGTAAAAGATTTCATCGTTATAAAACGGAACACACTAACATTTAAAAAAATCAAATTACTTTGAAGATAATCCATAAACAAAAGAAGCGTATCAATCATCTATGGGATCATTGATATCTATGGGATTCGTTCAAGAAGAAATTGAGCAAATTTCATGACTAGAAATTGTTCGTTACGGCAATTTCTGCGAAAAAAAACGTTTTAAACAAGAAAAAACAATTATTTTCAAAAATATACTTTGGTTGTACTCATAATGCAATGATCTATTTTACGCAATGCAGAGAACTGTTTTATGTGATAGAAGTGAACGTACATCGAAAATGCGAAAAAAAGATCCGAGAATGCTCTCGATTGCAGTCGATGCCTCAGTGATTGCCTCAATATCAGATGACATCTTGAGAAGAAGATCCATAACGAACATCAAGAATGCTTTGTACTTCGCTTTGAGTTGACGCAGTGGTAAGCGTGATACGGATAACAGCAATGAGCTGATCAACGACAAATGCCTTCAATATGAACATCAAACAATCGTTATGAATCAGGTTAACCCAGTTCAAATAGTCAAAAATAGCTCAGTAATTCTAGAAACAACAATGCACACACCAGAAAAACTTGCACTTTTTCCGGCAAATGCCAATAAACACTTTCAGTGGTGCAACTAAAGAGAAATATTAAAGGAATAAATGAAAATACCTGATGATCATCACCGGTTGTGCCTTCGAGAGTTGGGTCAATAGTGAAATGTAATGCTGTGCACAGTTCGGAGAAGCATTCGCACTCTCGAACAGGTCCATGATGAGTTGATGTGTTATCGCATCCTCGCCATTCAGTGCACGCATCCAGCCCAATTTAACACGACCATCTTCAACACTCACTTCTGAAAGTTGGTCGTTTAAATTGACATCTTTCGATGCTATCCTGACATTCACTATTACACATCCTAACATCTCGGACAACATATTTTTTGCCTACAAACATGTGAATTACACCGAAATAGACTCAATGCCTTGAAGATTTTATTGCCTAAATATCACAGATATGACAGCGTAGAAACAACAAAGTCGAAATCTTACCTGGATATCGAATCGAAAATTCTTTAATTATTGATAGAACCACTTGTCTCCGTCGTGCGAATGTTGCTGATGACGATAAAACGTCGGAAAATGCAGAAAACAAACAATAAACCAATTCGTCTGTAATTTCAAAAGCTTGATGAATCGCAAAACAACACAAAAGTTTACATAATGTGTGCTTGTTGTGAACAAATCCGATGATGAACTGTAGCAAGAAAGGAACTTATGTACAACAAGAAATGTGAACGATTGAGTCAGTAAGGAAGAAGGACGGAATGTGAATTTGGTGGATACTTTAAAGAGATCAAACCTTTCGAAGAAGTGATTCGATCGATGAATTTAACGATGGAAGACAAAGTGGATGGATCATAATCAACCTCATCAATAATGTAGTCCGCAAGAACGAATCGTCTTGCGTAAGTGAGTGGATTTGGATCAGCCAGCGAAAGGCTGTTCATCACTGCCGCCAGCACTGATCCACTCGAAACGCTAAAATTCGTTTGGCTTGCGAGTTACGAATTCTGACTTAAAAAGAGGCAGAAACTGTTTGAACATCTCACAATCAAACGACTTAAATGCAGTTAAGACGTAGTGAAATAGCCATCATTAAGAAAAATCACTCGATACTTTGGGTGTTCCACTGAATGCTTTTTTTTAAATGAACTATGGGAAGAGAGAGAAGTGAATGACATACCTCGGACTGTGTGAATCGAGAATGGAACCGATAATTGATGAGATCGTTTTGGAGGAGCATCTCGTCGGCATCAGTGAGATAAGGTACTCGAGATGGCGCGATCGTGCTCCGAACAGCAGTGTCAGTATCTCGTGTCGTTTAGCACCGCCGTCCATTTCCTGTCCGTTATCGCCGTCGAATGGCGATACCAGCTCTGGACAAAGACACAAGAAACGGCTTATCAGTGCTGATATGTCGTATTCCTAAAGGTAAGATGTTCTTTAAAAGTAAAAATGTATCTGAAAGCAATCAGTGAAAATTTCGTTAATATTACGAGCCAGAAATGGGTTTTAAAAACTGTTATCTCCACAGAGATGTGCATTTTGCGAAAAAGATCGACGTTATTTTTTCGACGTTCACACATCGAGGAACACCAAAAAATTTTCGAAGTAATACCAAATGATTAACTCACGTCAGACGAGGAAGCACCAAGGATTTTGAGGATTTCTTCAGCCGAAAGACTGTTTATGGATTTGCGTTGAATATGACATGACGAACGTCCTATAAATGAGTTAAATAAAGAGACAATCACATTGCGCAGAGATCCTAATTGGCGAAAATAATCGAGTGAAACACTGGTAGAACTATAAGAATATGATTACGACTTTGCGATAGCACTACCACAAATTAAACTCTTCAAAATACACCTGATGCTTTACACTCCCTAGCAAATTGATCATAATTGAAATCTTTAACGGGATAATTTATTGATTTTTTAATGAAAATTCATGATATAATTTTCAAAAAATGGAAACTACTGATGGAAAACCAACGTTCATCACTTCGCTTGAGGAGTGATTTCACAATTTCTGAGATATTTGCTTTCTTCGCAATGAACTGACATAAACCATCTAGATCGCTTTTCACTTGATCATTCTGAAATACGCTACGAAAATGACTGATCAAGAAATTAGTCGACAAAATCCGTAAAACGATACGCATTCTCAGATTGAACCTCGCAAATTATTCAACCTCCTCAAAAATATGACCAATTAATAACCAAATTTCAAAACGAATTAATGTTCACCTTCCCTTGCATTGCGCACAGTGTATTGATGACAGGAATGACCACATTTGTATTATTCAGCAATGTGAATTTCTTCTTCAATAAAGCAATTATTGAACGAGCACAATCCACGTTATTGATCAATTGAGCTAACGCAACAAACCACTGAGGAACATCACAACTATTGCGTGTTAAGGCCTGTAATAGTCGGAATATTTCCAATGAGTATACCAATAAATGCGATCATTAAAAAAGACATTAAAATCAACACGCAATAAAATATTGGAGGCAACATGAAGGTGTTTCGATATATGTATTGATGAATATATTTTAATCACCGAACAAACTGACAGTTTCGATGCATTCTAAAACTTGTTCATTTGAGAGTGTTTGTTGAGTGCCAACATCAGAGTGATACATATCTGATAACATTGGTGGTGGTTTGTGAACGATTTCAACGTTGTTTCCTTCATCCACTTCCATCTTAAGTGCTGCATTTCGTGATAAACGTTCAGAAAGACGTCCGATAAACTGAAAGTTTCCATTCGAAAAAACAAACATTCGAACGAACGCAAACAAAAACTGAGTGTCACGTTTGGTTTTCGTCGTTTGCAAACGATTCTGTTCGAAATGGATACGTCCGGAACTGGTCAAAAACAGACAACAACTTAACTGTCCTCAAGCACTGCTGGACAATTTCTTCACCTATAAGGTGCATGACGCTAACAGGTGAATCAAAAGACTACAATACAAACTATTATTTGCGCAATTAGAAATAATTACAATGATGCGATTCAAGACGCTCCTGAAGATGGCATAACGCCGAAACGTTGAACATCATCGTAATTGCGCATCTGTCAACAACACTACTGCACTGTTTTGATTCTTCTCGATCATTTGAATGAAGTGTCATTAACTAGTTAATTTCCTCCTCATATATTAATTTCTAATTTCACTGAAAATCAGTAAGAGTGCAGAAAAGAGTGAGTAAAAACAATAACACGAGTCTTACTTACAATTTCATCTGCAAAATTCAACAAATGATATACTAAAAAATAATTATAACCTTATCGCCACCGAGGGCACCTTTCCGTTTATAAGCTCGGATGAACGGTGCCGCTTTACGAGCATTCGAAAGCAAAGGTTCCTCAAGTGAAAAATTCGCCTTATCGAGTATCTCAAACAATTTCGTACAACTGTATAAGGTTAAGCCGAATGACTGCACCATTTTCAGCGCATCGTCCTCGTTCATTTCGCTCAATGCAACCTGAATTAACATTTCAAATTTTAATTCTACAATCAACGAATCGCAACTGTGCACCTTTACTCTCTTCTGATAAAGCGCCATGAAACTTATTCTGCTCAGATGAGCAAAAACAGCATTCATGCTACACAAGCTGACTTTTAGCGAACGAACAAGCAAATATAAGAAGCTCGAATGAAAATGAAAAATATTACAAGTGAAAAATATATGTAAAAATGAAAATATAAAATAAAAAATAAACTAAAAGATAACCTATACAAAATAAAAACAAATGAAAATATAACAAGCACGAAAACTTACGTTCACAATACGCTCATCTTCGGCGCACAACATTTTTAATCTGAGCGAAGGCGTTAACAATTCAATACCGTCTGCGTTGACCACCTGTAATTGTTTTTTTTTNACATAAATTCGCACTTTGTGAGGTTGTCATTTGTGGAATCACTGACGGAATTCTTGCCTACGATAAAATAACTCAATCAGCAGTTCGCATTAACCAAACGAAAACAACAACAATATGGATGAATACACTAAAAACGTGTAACAAACCTTTGGCCTATGTCCATGAGATGGAAAGAATAAATCCATCAAAGCGTTTCGAGCACTGCTACTTTTATCAACATGCCTACTACACAGCAGTTGAATGATGGCACCGAATGACGACAAAATCATTTCGGCTGATCGGTTCTCCTTAAACAACACTAATTTTGCTAAACGTTCATATTCATATTCGAGCGGTAGGTTTCTTGTTATAGCAACACTAATTTTTGCTAAAGAACGTCTTTTTTATGAACATGAGTACTCGTCATTTGAACATCTATTTTATGACATCGAAAATCAGCAAAAACACATTTGATACTCATCTATTTTCATCAATCAGTAGTAACTGCTGAAAGGTAAAATTAATCATCAGCCAATGTTGTACATTATTTGCGATTAGTTCCAAACGACCCAGCTGCTTCTCTTTAATTTGTGCGACTCAGAAAATGGATTCGCGTTAAAATAACGTCTCCATTCTTATACTGCGAACTTAGAAACTGGATTTAAAATATATTACAGAATTTAAAAAAAAANAAAAAAAAACAATTTTAAAAATTGTTCGAAAGCATAAATGAGCACTGCTGAAAAATGAAAGGAACGAACCTTCGAAGAAATATTGAATTCGACGATAATCTTTTTCGCATCAGCGGGTAAATTTTGTTGCATTAATTCGGAAGAACACGTCGATTGCGCTGATGCAGTTTTAACGTACTGATCAAAGAAACGAATCGCAGATGCATGCAGCTGTACATCCTCACACGCGTCGTGTAAACAGTCATCAACAACGTTCGAGAGTTGATGTGCTATCTGAGAGTTGATGTACTCAACACTTTTATCGATGAGAAATGCACTCACAAACACTAATCTAGTTCGTGCATTGTGAATAAATTCAATACACAACCACAGTGTTTTACATTCCACCGGTACTCCATAAAATCATAACTGTGAAAATTGCATTGTACAACTACAACTACGATATCATCTGTCATTTTTCGGTGAATGTTTTTTTAACGATTAATTAATTTATGGTGAACCAATTAAATGCAAACCAAATGACTGATTGAATCATCCGAGTACGCAATAAGAAAATCGATGTATTCGGTCAAACGAGACGATTTCGTTTCTACGGGACACAACTTTGCTAGCAGGATGCAAATGCGATTCTTAAATAGAGCACAAGCACAATATCAAAAATTCGATGATTATGAAAAATGCATTTGATATTTTCATTCAAGTCAATTCGAAAAATCGCAGAACACAGGCAATCAATTTAATGAAACTGTTTGTAAAATACCTAAAAAAGCAAATTTTTGCGGTCAACGATAATAACTCTAGATGAACGGTAATGACATTCTTTGAATTCTAGCGATATGTCACCAGATATTGCCCTATGCCAACGTCATCCACTAGATAAACACGTTCTTTTGGCCCTGTCAACCGAACAACCTCATCAGTTCCCTTCATTCCATAGTCTATTCCAACCATCGCAGGTTTTATAATGATTTAAACATTAGCATAATTAAACGTTAAGCAATCAAAATGCCAACAAATACCTTCAACGAATCGAATGAATTGATCATGTGAAGAAACGCAGTTGGTGAGGCGTCAACATTGACTGGAAGTATCGTTGCATTTGCGTCCGGCTTAAATATTTCGGATGGATTTTGACAGAGCAAAAAAAATCGAAGTGTGATCGAAACGAGAATGAAACCTGTAGGAAAAGCGACAAGGCATAGGCAGCTATTGATCGTTCCAACGATGAATGCGCACTTAGTCTCGTTGCGATGAATTGCATTGTTTCCATAACACTCTCATCATTCGCTGATGCGCCTCTCAATGAGTCACGTAAACGTTGCCGTAACTCAAACATCACATCATTCTTTTCTACACCCATTTTCAGCAAATTTATAACCACACATCATAAGAACCAACAATTCTATTTTTTTCTTGAGAAACTACAATTTCCAATGAATCTTAACGACTCAAAGAATTAATTCATTCAGAGTTAAGACCAGAATTTAAACAAAACAGAATGGACGTTCATGAAAAACAAACTGCATTCAGTTTTTCGTTGGATGGTTTTTTGATATTCGACATCGACGATGAGGACACCAGAAGATAGTGAAGGAACAATTCACAGATACATTCCAGCGGTAAATAAAGAATGGCACTCGCATTCGATTCCACCAAATTCATAATTGCTGGCAATGCGCACGCACTTCCCTTCAAGTCATTCGATGGCTTTTCATCGAACAATTATCATTTCAGACAGCATTCGTTCAGAAATAACATTCAAAACAAAAAAACACGAGATTAAGCGAATAACCTCAGAACGCGCAATATCCGCTAATATATCCGGATCACGACATTCGCACAACGATCGAGACAAATCTAAATCCTCATTCAACTTCTTGAGATCAATGAAGAAACTATCTGGTGGACGACGGCACACACCTCTGAAACAAAGAAATACAAAACATTCAACGTTTTAGAGAATATACGAAACGTTTCCATACGTTTAATACATCCATTCTCAATAGTAAATGACCATTTCAAGCATAAAAATGAAATTATAGAACGGCGGTAACCAACGCTGGATCGAGAGTGCAAAGCTTTCCGATAAGCTTCGAGTCTGCGTCATCCACATCCACTCCAGCAAGCCTTGTCTCTAATTTTCGGATCTTCTGCTTCTCCGTCTCTAATTCCCTGCCATCTTCAGCTAACATTCGTTCCACACCCTCTGGATTGCCAGCATTTGCCATTGGAGGGAAATGATAGTCCCTTTAGAAATGAAACACATTTAGACGCACAATCTCTTTCACTGACCGATTAAACTAACAATGCGGTGCTATCGTCATATCCGCACGGAAATCCGCAATGTTAACAGATCAAGTGCAAAACCAACTTACGGCCACAATTTACTTCAAAAGTTTGATCGTAAACCGAGTTGACAGTGTAATTTATCACTGTGATATATATATATATATATATATATATATATATGTATGTAT